TAAGAGGGCCAAGGGAGGATCCAAACCTTGTCCAAGGGTAGGGGGTGAGCAAGGGTGATGGGCATAGGTGCAATCAGGCCCGATGGAGGCAAGATGGAAGCAGTGGAGGTGAGGGAAGGAAGAAGAGGAGGAAGTGTGGGTCTAGTCCTGCAGGCAATATCTTGATTAAAGGGAGAGAAAGAGGAAGAAAAGTGAGACAGGGCAAGGTCAAGCTAAAGGTAGCATAAAGGGAAGGCAGTGGTTGGAGGCAGTGGAGGACTAGATGAGAGACAGCAGGAGAGAAGGTGGCATGGCTAAGGGGTGGAAAGAGTATAAATGGTGACAGCAGGTCACAGGTGGAAGCACATCCCTAAGGAGAACTGATGATAAAAAACATTAGGAAGCTTTGAGATGCATGAGCCAAAGAGAAGAGACAGGGTGACTTCCTGGGATGAAAGGAAAATATGCACAGCTTGAGGAAAGGTCATGGGAATGATGTCCATCTGGGGCTTTGATGCCCTGCTAGTGAAGGGTCACCGCTCAGAGACAGACGAGGTGATGCGAGGCATTCAGGGAGGATGGAGAGTGGACCACAGTGGACTGAAGATAGTGGGGGACCAAGGAGAAGAGAAAGGTGGCAGAGTAGGCACCTGGCAGGTCTCAGAGGAGAGAAACAGAGGAAAGGTCAAACTTCTGGGCCAAACATTGTGAGCAGTGACATAGTAACAAGGATAGCAGGGGCAGGGAACAGTGGAAGCTCATAAAGCCTTGTAAGTTGGGACAAAGGTAAACTTTTTGGCCAGGCTCTATACTACTTAATCCGGATCCGGCGGGATTGGGGTGGGAGGAGGGGATGGGGTGGGAGCAGGGGATGGGGTGGGAGCACGGGATGGGGTGGGAGCACGGGATGGGGTGGGTGGTGGGGAAGGGGAGGGAGGTAGGGAGGGGAATAGCCGGGCTTTAGGGTGGGGATTGGGTAAGATGGGGTTGGACAGGAGGGAGGGGTAGGGATCAATGGGCACTAGGGTGGGGATGGGACTATATGAGCCAAACTTTAGGCACCAAGGAAACCAACTTCTTTATCTGAGCTTGTGGACTGATTCCATCTCAACTATTGGGAGTGAGGGCAACAGGATGAGGGGGTAGGAAAGACCAGTGAATCCACCCAGAGAGGACACAGGAGAGTACCTCCAGGAAAGGGGAGAAGGGAAAGGTCTGGTTGATAGGAGAATAGGGAAGTGAGGACTATTATGGCCAAGAAAAACAAAACTCAGAATGAAGATATTGATACAATAACTGAGAGTCAAAAAAAGGGGATGGCAGGAAGAGTATGAGAGTGTCCAAAGTAAAAAACAATGCTCTAAAGCAGACTGGGAGTTTTGAAATGTCAGGTGGCAGAATATATGGAAGGGAGTGTGGTGCTTACAAGAAAACAGTGCTGGGATAGTGTGTGTGTGGGGGGGGGGGGTGGGAGGAAGGGGGCAAGACTGGAATCTTCAAGGAACACCTGTCAGAGGAAACCACTGGAAAACAGGAGGTGGGCAAGGTTGAGTGCATGCCAGCAGATTGACCTTGGGATTTCAGAAGAGATTGGGAAACGGGAGCCAATCTCCATGCATGGGAAAAACCATCTTTGTTAATGGAGATTGTGGACTGATTCCACATCAAGTGTTTGGAGTGATGATAACAGGTTTAAGAGGGGGAAGGCAAGAAGAGAGGGGACGCAAGAAGAGGATCTGTAGGAAAGAGGGAAGGGAAAGGTCAGGTTGAGGGGGAAAAAAGAGAAGACTCAAAAGGACCACAGAAGATGCACAGAAGGATCATGCCAGGGTTATTGCAAGAGTGGAAGAGTTGAGGGAAAGACCAGGGAACCCAAGCAGAGAAAACCAAGGAGAGAAATTGCAAGAAGAAGGAAAGGGAAAGGTCCGGTTGGAAGAAATCATACAAAGGGCTCTGGGAGAAATATGCCAGTGGTGTGGGAGGATGGATAGAGAAAGGGACAATATCAAGTGCTGAGAAAGACCAGATTCTGGGCCAAAGATATTTCCACAGAAACAAGAGCCATAATGGGAGGGAGGAAGGAGTAACTTAAGTGTGTGTGTTGGGATTGTGGTGGTGGCATGACCTAATGATGGTGTTTTGCACACCAGGGTTTGGAAGGGAGTGGGGTGGTTGCATGAGAGTCAGGAATGTCGGAAAGGGGTTAAAAGATCCAGAACCAAGGAGAAAGCGAGAAAGTGGATGTAGCCGGAAATCACCTGGAAGGATAGAGGGTGGCATCCTGGGATTCACTTGAGTGAGTAGAGAGCAGAGCACCAAGGTTTGGTCCTGGCACTGAGGCCTCTTGAGGAGGAGGGCTGAGGGAGACAGGAGCGACCAACGGGGAAATTTAGGGTGGACTGATGTGATCAGAGAGCACCTGAAGGGCTGTAGAGCAGAAGCAAGGCCCAGCTGGGACTGGAGATGATCTGGCAGAGAGACGACGGCTGGCAGAGGAAGCAGAAGAGAGGGGCGGACAGCAAGACCCAGGGCTCTTTGCAGAGCGAGACCGAGCGCCAAGGTGTCAGGCATGGCTGAGCAGGCACAGGGGCAAGAGGGAGGGCTGATGGCCAAGGACCCAGAGCAGTGGCTCCCAACCTTTTTTTGCCCCTGCCCCACCTAAGCATCTCTAAAATCCTGATGCTTCCCCCGGCCCGTGGCATATAATTCCCATTATTCAAAAAGTGAACTCCGATTCATGTGGAGGACACCTAAAAGGCCACTAACTTGGTCTAAACAACCTTCCAAACAAGATGGCATCCGTGAAAGAGAAAAAGCAAAGAACAACAGACAGTTGACATACTGAGGAAGAAATAACCCAGAAATTGCCCCAAAATAACAATTGAAGTCATATCAAAAAATAGCAAATAAACTCTTAAACATATAACTGATGCCGGGGGGTAGGGGAGGCTGATGGGAAGGTCAATTGGGGGGAGAAGGACACAGATGTACTAGTATTTGTAATGCTTGAAATGAGAAAAAAAAAAAAAAAATAAAAACGAAACGTACAAAAGAGAACTTAAGTAATGAATATGTCACAAAAGATCTTTCTCTACTCTACTAGTATCTGAAGCTCCAAAAAGCTTCAGAAATGCAAGAAATTCACTCTTATCAACTCGTTTGAAATCGCCCCCGTTAAATCCAAATTGCCCCACTGTGAACGGTGGGAACCGCTGACCCAGACTGATAAGGAAGAGGTAGGGGAATCAGAGGAAGAGGCTCCCCAAGGGCTGTGCCCCAAGACTGTGCAACAAAGGGGTCCCAATGGAATCAGGAAAGGTAACCAGTACCGAGGTTCGCGTGTCCCTGGAGGAAATCACAGTCCACGTTCACAGGCTGTGAGGAGAGGGCGTAGGCAGGCGGGCAGATGCAGGAGAGTAAATGGGGGCCAGGGAGACGGCAGTGGGGTGTGAAGAAGGTGAGGAATGAGGTAAGGAGCACACAGAGCATCATGGGCATCAGCAAGAAGAGGTACAGTCTGTGGCTGCAGGAATGTCACCTGGCTGAGGAAGGACAGTTTTCTTGCTACCTATGCAGTAGAGAAGCCAAGCAAGAAAGATGATGAACCCAGGCCCAAGAGGTAGGACTTCAGGTGAGCACAGTTGGACTGTGGGAGAGTGTAGGAGAGGGGCCAAATTCCAAGGGAAAAAAGAGTGAGGACGAACTGGGGACGAAAGCACTGCACCCTAAGAATGGTAAAGAGCGAAACATGGGGGGGGGGGGGACTAGGTGAAGGCACCATTTGACTCCCTTGAGCGGCACAAGGGAGTGAACAACCATAAACAGGGTGAAAATCACATAGAGGATAAGGGCAAAGATCAATGCCGGCCTGGTAGGATGAGGTCACAGGAGGATGAGGTGTGGAGAAGTGGCCCATGGAAAAGCCTGGGGAAAATCCTGTCAGAGCAGGGCTAGGCGAGAGGAGGTGAGGTTACAGAGAAGGACAGGTAAGCCAGGACCACCTCATAATGGTGGACCCCCAAAGGTAAGGAACAGGGGACAGCAGTTGGAGTCAGCAGACCCCTCTTGGGCAAGAGAGAGCGGGCAATGGGGGAAGGAGGAGTGTAAGTGAAGAGACCAGCACAGGTCATGGAAGGACCAATCAATCCTTCATCTGACTAGCAAGTCATAGGGGAAGTAGGATGGGACATTGAGGGTCAAGCAGAGGGTGGAGCATGGAGGCAGGGAGAGGTGGGATCGGGGGTCGAGTCTGGAGGCGTTTCTAGTGTGCCAGGGTTGGAGAGGAGGACATGGATTGGGATGGGGTTGGGTGAAGGGAGCCAAGCTCCATGCACGGGAATACCCAACTCCTTTAATGAACATAGTGGGCTAATTCCGTGTCAAGTGCTGGGCATGATGAGGACAACTAAGGAGCAGGAGGGCCAGACCAGGGAATCCACCCAGAGAGCCCACTGGAGTGTAGCCCTAGCAGGATAGGCGAAGGCAAAAGTCTGGTTGGCGGAAAACACACCAGCACCTGAGAGGACCACAGGGGCTCTGTGGAAGGATCATGCCAGGGGTGTGAGAGGAGGGATAACATCCAGAAAAGGGAGAAGAGCAAGAGCTGAGAACGTCCAGGTCCTGGGACAAAGGTACTTCCACAAGGCACCAGAGTCGTAAAGATAGGGAGGAAGGAGTACCTTACGCGTGGGTGAGTGTGAGAGTGTGTGTGTGTGTGTGTGTGTGTGTGTGTGCGTGTGTGTGTGTGTGTTTTGGAATTGTGGTGGTGGCTACAGATAAATAATGGTGTTTTGCAGATTGGGGTTGGAAGGTAGTCGGGCAGTTGCAGGAGGACAGTGTCGGGACAGTGAGAGAATGGTGCGAATGCTGGGATCTTGCAGGAAAATGTGTCAATGGCAACCAGTAGAAGGCTAGAGGCCCATGGGTGAGTGCAGCCCAGGAGTCAGGTTGGGCTTCCACAGCAGTGATTCTTCCCGGGGGTGGGGGGGGGTGAGTTTCCCCCGAGGGGGGGGTGGGCATGACCCCCAAGGGAGGCCTATCACACCATCTGAAGGGGGAGCAGTACACTGCTTGAAACAACAAAACCAAAAAAAATTCAAAAGAAAACACAAAAACACACCCCAAAGATGTTGCTGATAGGCCTCCTTGGGGGGTCATGCACCCTCGGGTGAGAATCACTGGGTGGAAGGGGCAGAGAGGAGAGCTGGGCAGAGAGGCGAAGCATGAGCAGGTGAGGAGGTGGGGGTATGAGACTCAAGCATGTCAGAATGGGGCTAAGGGACCCTGGACCAGGCAGACAGCAAGCAAAGGGATGTAGCCGAGAAATCACCTGGAAGGATAGAGGGTGGCACCCTGGGCTTCACCTGGAGTGAGTAGGGAGGAGAGCACCAAGGTTTGGTCCAGGCACTGAGGCCTCTTGAGGAGGAGGGCTGAGGGAGACAGGAGCGACCAACGGGGAAATTTAGGGTGGACTGATGTGATCAGAGAGCACCTGAAGGGCTGTAGAGCAGAAGCAAGGCCCAGCTGGGACTGGAGATGATCTGGCAGAGAGACGACGGCTGGCAGAGGAAGGAGAAGAGAGGGCCGGACAGCAAGACCCAGGGCTCTGTGCAGAGCGAGACCGAGCGCCAAGGTGTCAGGCATGGCTCAGCAGGCACAGGGGCAAGAGGGAGGGCTGAAGGCCAAGGACCCAGAGCAGTGGCTCCCAACCTTTTTTTGCCCATGCCCCACCTAAGCATCTCTAAAATCCTGATGCTTCCCCCGGCCCGTGGCATATAATTCCCATTATTCAAAAAGTGAACTCCGATTCATGTGGAGGACACCTAAAAGGCCACTAACTTGGTCTAAACAACCTTCCAAACAAGATGGCATCCGTGAAAGAGAAAAAGCAAAGAACAACAGACAGTTGACATACTGAGGAAGAAATAACCCAGAAATTGCCCCAAAATAACAATTGAAGTCATATCAAAAAATAGCAAATAAACTCTTAAACATATAACTGATGCCGGGGGGTAGGGGAGGCTGATGGGAAGGTCAATTGGGGGGAGAAGGACACAGATGTACTAGTATTTGTAATACTTGAAACGAGAAAAAAACAACAACAACAAAAAAAACGAAACGTATAACAGAGAACTTAAGTGATGAATATGTCACAAAAGATCTTTCTCTACTCTACTAGTATCTGAAGCTCCAAGAAGCTTCAGAAATGCAAGAAATTCACTCTTATCAACTCGTTTGAAATCGCCCCCGTTAAATCCAAATTGCCCCACTGTGAACGGTGGGAACCACTGACCCAGACTGATAAGGAAGAGGTAGGGGAATCAGAGGAAGAGGCTCCCCAAGGGCTGTGCCCCAAGACTGTGCAACAAAGGGGTCCCAATGGAATCAGGAAAGGTAACCAGTACCGAGGTTCGCGTGTCCCTGGAGGAAATCACAGTCCACGTTCACAGGCTGTGAGGAGAGGGCGTAGGCAAGCGGGCAGATGCAGGAGAGTATATGAGGGCCAAGGAGATGGCAGTGGGGTGTGCAGAAGGGGAGGAATGAGGTAACGAGCACACAGAGCACCATGGGCATCAGCAAGAAGAGGTACAGTCTGTGACTGCAGAAATGTCACCTGGCTGAGGAAGGACAGTTTTCTTGCTACCTATGCAGTAGAGAAGCCAAGCAAGAAAGATGATGAACCCAGGCCCAAGAGGTAGGACTTCAGGTGAGCACATTCGGGGTGTGGGAGAGTGTAGGAGAGGGGCCAAATTCCAAGGGCACAAAAGAGTGAGAAAGGACAGGGGACGAATGAACTGCACCCAAAGAATGGTAAAGAAGGAAACCTGGGTGGCCTCTAGGAGAAGGCAGGTACTTTCCTCCCATGGGTGGCTCAAGGGCGGGCAGGAGCCCACGCAGGCTGAAGATCACAGAGTGGGTAAGGCCAAAGAGCAATGCCGGCCTGGTGGGATGAGGTCAGAGGACGACGAGGTGTGGAGAAATGTCCCATGCTAAAGCCTGGGGACAACCCTGTCAGAGCAGGGCTAGGCGAGAGGAGGTGAGGTTACAGAGAAGGCCAGGTAAGCCACCACCATCTCATAATGGTGGACCCCCAAAGGTAAGGAACAGGGGACAGCAGTTGAAGTCAGCAGACCCCTCTTGGGCATGAGAGAGCGGGCAATGGGGGAAGGAGGAGTGTAAGTGAAGAGACCAGCACAGGTCATGGAAGGACCAATCAATCCTTCATCTGACTAGCAAGTCATAGGGGAAGTAGGATGGGACATTGAGGGTCAAGCAGAGGGTGGAGCATGGAGGCAGGGAGAGGTGGGATCGGGGGTCGAGTCTGGAGGCGTTTCTAGTGTGCCAGGGTTGGAGAGGAGGACATGGATTGGGATGGGGTTGGGTGAAGGGAGCCAAGCTCCATGCACGGGAATACCCAACTCCTTTAATGCACATTGTGGGCTGATTCCGTGTCAAGTGGTGGGCATGATGAGGACAACTAAGGAGCAGGAGGGCCAGAGCAGGGAATCCACACAGAGAGCCCACTGGAGTGTAGCCCTAGCAGGATAGGCGAAGGCAAAAGTCTGGTTGGCGGAAAACACACCAGCACCTGAGAGGACCACAGGGACTCTGTGGAAGGATCATGCCAGGGGTGTGAGAGGAGGGATAACATCCAGAAAAGGGAGAAGAGCAAGAGCTGAGAACGTCCAGGTCCTGGGACAAAGGTACTTCCACAAGGCACCAGAGTCGTAAAGATAGGGAGGAAGGAGTACCTTACGCGTGGGTGAGTGTGAGTGTGTGTGTGTGTGTGTGTGTGTGTGTGTGTGTGTGTGTGTGTGTTTTGGAATTGTGGTGGTGGCTACAGATAAATAATGGAGTTTTGCAGATTGGGGTTGGAAGGGAGTCGGGCAGTTGCAAGAGGACAGTGTCGGGACAGTGAGAGAATGGTGTGAATGCTGGGATCTTGCAGGAAAATGTGTCAATGGCAACCAGTAGAAGGCTAGAGGCCCAAGGGTGAGTGCAGCCCAGGAGTCAGGTTGGGCTTCCACAGCAGTGATTCTTCCCGGGGGTGGGGGGGGGGTGAGTTTCCCCCGAGGGGGGGGTGGGCATGACCCCCAAGGGAGGCCTATCACACCATCTGAAGGGGGAGCAGTACACTGCTTGAAACAACAAAACCAAAAAAAATTCAAAAGAAAACACAAAAACACACCCCAAAGATGTTGCTGATAGGCCTCCTTGGGGGGTCATGCACCCTCGGGTGAGAATCACTGGGTGGAAGGGGCAGAGAGGAGAGCTGGGCAGAGAGGCGAAGCATGAGCAGGTGAGGAGGTGGGGGTATGAGACTCAAGCATGTCAGAATGGGGCTAAGGGACCCTGGACCAGGCAGACAGCAAGCAAAGGGATGTAGCCGAGAAATCACCTGGAAGGATAGAGGGTGGCACCCTGGGCTTCACCTGGAGTGAGTAGGGAGGAGAGCACCAAGGTTTGGTCCAGGCACTGAGGCCTCTTGAGGAGGAGGGCTGAGGGAGACAGGAGCGACCAACGGGGAAATTTAGGGTGGACTGATGTGATCAGAGAGCACCTGAAGGGCTGTAGAGCAGAAGCAAGGCCCAGCTGGGACTGGAGATGATCTGGCAGAGAGACGACGGCTGGCAGAGGAAGGAGAAGAGAGGGCCGGACAGCAAGACCCAGGGCTCTGTGCAGAGCGAGACCGAGTGCCAAGGTGTCCGGCATGGCAGAGCAGGCACAGGGGCAAGAGGGAGGGCTGAAGGCCAAGGACCCAGAGCAGTGGCTCCCAACCTTTTTTTGCCCATGCCCCACCTAAGCATCTCTAAAATCCCGATGCTTCCCCCGGCCCGTGGCATATAATTCCCATTATTCAAAAAGTGAACTCCGATTCATGTGGAGGACACCTAAAAGGCCACTAACTTGGTCTAAACAACCTTCCAAACAAGATGGCATCCGTGAAAGAGAAAAAGCAAAGAACAACAGACAGTTGACATACTGAGGAAGAAATAACCCAGAAATTGCCCCAAAATAACAATTGAAGTCATATCAAAAAATAGCAAATAAACTCTTAAACATATAACTGATGCCGGGGGGTAGGGGAGGCTGATGGGAAGGTCAATTGGGGGGAGAAGGACACAGATGTACTAGTATTTGTAATACTTGAAACGAGAAAAAAACAACAACAACAAAAAAAACGAAACGTATAACAGAGAACTTAAGTGATGAATATGTCACAAAAGATCTTTCTCTACTCTACTAGTATCTGAAGCTCCAAGAAGCTTCAGAAATGCAAGAAATTCACTCTTATCAACTCGTTTGAAATCGCCCCCGTTAAATCCAAATTGCCCCACTGTGAACGGTGGGAACCACTGACCCAGACTGATAAGGAAGAGGTAGGGGAATCAGAGGAAGAGGCTCCCCAAGGGCTGTGCCCCAAGACTGTGCAACAAAGGGGTCCCAATGGAATCAGGAAAGGTAACCAGTACCGAGGTTCGCGTGTCCCTGGAGGAAATCACAGTCCACGTTCACAGGCTGTGAGGAGAGGGCGTAGGCAAGCGGGCAGATGCAGGAGAGTATATGAGGGCCAAGGAGATGGCAGTGGGGTGTGCAGAAGGGGAGGAATGAGGTAACGAGCACACAGAGCACCATGGGCATCAGCAAGAAGAGGTACAGTCTGTGACTGCAGAAATGTCACCTGGCTGAGGAAGGACAGTTTTCTTGCTACCTATGCAGTAGAGAAGCCAAGCAAGAAAGATGATGAACCCAGGCCCAAGAGGTAGGACTTCAGGTGAGCACATTCGGGGTGTGGGAGAGTGTAGGAGAGGGGCCAAATTCCAAGGGCACAAAAGAGTGAGAAAGCACAGGGGACGAATGAACTGCACCCAAAGAATGGTAAAGAAGGAAACCTGGGTGGCCTCTAGGAGAAGGCAGGTACTTTCCTCCCATGGGTGGCTCAAGGGCGGGCAGGAGCCCACGCAGGCTGAAGATCACAGAGTGGGTAAGGCCAAAGAGCAATGCCGGCCTGGTGGGATGAGGTCAGAGGACGACGAGGTGTGGAGAAATGTCCCATGGAAAAGCCTGGGGACAACCCTGTCAGAGCAGGGCTAGGCGAGAGGAGGTGAGGTTACAGAGAAGGCCAGGTAAGCCACCACCATCTCATAATGGTGGACCCCCAACGGTAAGGAACAGGGGACAGCAGTTGGAGTCAGCAGACCCCTCTTGGGCAAGAGAGAGCGGGCAATGGGGGAAGGAGGAGTGTAAGTGAAGAGACCAGCACAGGTCATGGAAGGACCAATCAATCCTTCATCTGACTAGCAAGTCATAGGGGAAGTAGGATGGGACATTGAGGGTTAAGCAGAGGGTGGAGCATGGAGGCAGGGAGAGGTGGGATCGGGGGTCGAGTCTGGAGGCGTTTCTAGTGTGCCAGGGTTGGAGAGGAGGACATGGATTGGGATGGGGTTGGGTGAAGGGAGCCAAGCTCCATGCACGGGAATACCCAACTCCTTTAATGCACATAGTGGGCTAATTCCGTGTCAAGTGGTGGGCATGATGAGGACAACTAAGGAGCAGGAGGGCCAGAGCAGGGAATCCACCCAGAGAGCCCACTGGAGTGTAGCCCTAGCAGGATAGGCGAAGGCAAAAGTCTGGTTGGCGGAAAACACACCAGCACCTGAGAGGACCACAGGGACTCTGTGGAAGGATCATGCCAGGGGTGTGAGAGGAGGGATAACATCCAGAAAAGGGAGAAGAGCAAGAGCTGAGAACGTCCAGGTCCTGGGACAAAGGTACTTCCACAAGGCACCAGAGTCGTAAAGATAGGGAGGAAGGAGTAGCTTACGCGTGGGTGAGTGTGAGTGTGTGTGTGTGTGTGTGTGTGTGTGTGTGTGTGTGTGTGTGTGTGTTTTGGAATTGTGGTGGTGGCTACAGATAAATAATGGTGTTTTGCAGATTGGGGTTGGAAGGGAGTCGGGCAGTTGCAGGAGGACAGTGTCGGGACAGTGAGAGAATGGTGTGAATGCTGGGATCTTGCAGGAAAATGTGTCAATGGCAACCAGTAGAAGGCTAGAGGCCCAAGGGTGAGTGCAGCCCAGGAGTCAGGTTGGGCTTCCACAGCAGTGATTCTTCCCGGGGGTGGGGGGGGGTGAGTTTCACCCGAGGGGGGGGTGGGCATGACCCCCAAGGGAGGCCTATCACACCATCTGAAGGGGGAGCAGTACACTGCTTGAAACAACAAAACCAAAAAAAATTCAAAAGAAAACACAAAAACACACCCCAAAGATGTTGCTGATAGGCCTCCTTGGGGGGTCATGCACCCTCGGGTGAGAATCACTGGGTGGAAGGGGCAGAGAGGAGAGCTGGGCAGAGAGGCGAAGCATGAGCAGGTGAGGAGGTGGGGGTATGAGACTCAAGCATGTCAGAATGGGGCTAAGGGACCCTGGACCAGGCAGACAGCAAGCAAAGGGATGTAGCCGAGAAATCACCTGGAAGGATAGAGGGTGGCACCCCGGGCTTCACCTGGAGTGAGTAGGGAGGAGAGCACCAAGGTTTGGTCCAGGCACTGAGGCCTCTTGAGGAGGAGGGCTGAGGGAGACAGGAGCGACCAACGGGGAAATTTAGGGTGGACTGATGTGATCAGAGAGCACCTGAAGGGCTGTAGAGCAGAAGCAAGGCCCAGCTGGGACTGGAGATGATCTGGCAGAGAGACGACGGCTGGCAGAGGAAGGAGAAGAGAGGGGCGGACAGCAAGACCCAGGGCTCTGTGCAGAGCGAGACCGAGCGCCAAGGTGTCAGGCATGGCTGAGCAGGCACAGGGGCAAGAGGGAGGGCTGAAGGCCAAGGACCCAGAGCAGTGGCTCCCAACCTTTTTTTGCCCATGCCCCACCTAAGCATCTCTAAAATCCTGATGCTTCCCCCGGCCCGTGGCATATAATTCCCATTATTCAAAAAGTGAACTCCGATTCATGTGGAGGACACCTAAAAGGCCACTAACTTGGTCTAAACAACCTTCCAAACAAGATGGCATCCGTGAAAGAGAAAAAGCAAAGAACAACAGACAGTTGACATACTGAGGAAGAAATAACCCAGAAATTGCCCCAAAATAACAATTGAAGTCATATCAAAAAATAGCAAATAAACTCTTAAACATATAACTGATGCCGGGGGGTAGGGGAGGCTGGGGGAAGGTCAATTGGGGGGAGAAGGACACAGATGTACTAGTATTTGTAATACTTGAAACGAGAAAAAAACAAAAAAAAAATTAAAAACGAAACGTATAACAGAGAACTTAAGTGATGAATATGTCACAAAAGATCTTTCTCTACTCTACTAGTATATGAAGCTCCAAGAAGCTTCAGAAATGCAAGAAATTCACTCTTATCAACTCGTTTGAAATCGCCCCCGTTAAATCCAAATTGCCCCACTGTGAACGGTGGGAACCACTGACCCAGACTGATAAGGAAGAGGTAGGGGAATCAGAGGAAGAGGCTCCCCAAGGGCTGTGCCCCAAGACTGTGCAACAAAGGGGTCCCAATGGAATCAGGAAAGGTAACCAGTACCGAGGTTCGCGTGTCCCTGGAGGAAATCACAGTCCAGGTTCACAGGCTGTGAGGAGAGGGCGTAGGCAAGCGGGCAGATGCAGGAGAGTATATGAGGGCCAAGGAGATGGCAGTGGGGTGTGCAGAAGGGGAGGAATGAGGTAACGAGCACACAGAGCACCATGGGCATCAGCAAGAAGAGGTACAGTCTGTGACTGCAGAAATGTCACCTGGCTGAGGAAGGACAGTTTTCTTGCTACCTATGCAGTAGAGAAGCCAAGCAAGAAAGATGATGAACCCAGGCCCAAGAGGTAGGACTTCAGGTGAGCACATTCGGGGTGTGGGAGAGTGTAGGAGAGGGGCCAAATTCCAAGGGCACAAAAGAGTGAGAAAGGACAGGGGACGAATGAACTGCACCCAAAGAATGGTAAAGAAGGAAACCTGGGTGGCCTCTAGGAGAAGGCAGGTACTTTCCTCCCATGGGTGGCTCAAGGGCGGGCAGGAGCCCACGCAGGCTGAAGATCACAGAGTGGGTAAGGCCAAAGAGCAATGCCGGCCTGGTGGGATGAGGTCAGAGGACGACGAGGTGTGCAGAAATGTCCCATGGAAAAGCCTGGGGACAACCCTGTCAGAGCAGGGCTAGGCGAGAGGAGGTGAGGTTACAGAGAAGGCCAGGTAAGCCACCACCATCTCATAATGGTGGACCCCCAAAGGTAAGGAACAGGGGACAGCAGTTGGAGTCAGCAGACCCCTCTTGGGCAAGAGAGAGCGGGCAATGGGGGAAGGAGGAGTGTAAGTGAAGAGACCAGCACAGGTCATGGAAGGACCAATCAATCCTTCATCTGACTAGCAAGTCATAGGGGAAGTAGGATGGGACATTGAGGGTCAAGCAGAGGGTGGAGCATGGAGGCAGGGAGAGGTGGGATCGGGGGTCGAGTCTGGAGGCGTTTCTAGTGTGCCAGGGTTGGAGAGGAGGACATGGATTGGGATGGGGTTGGGTGAAGGGAGCCAAGCTCCATGCACGGGAATACCCAACACCTTTAATGCACATTGTGGGCTGATTCCGTGTCAAGTGCTGGGCATGATGAGGACAACTAAGGAGCAGGAGGGCCAGAGCAGGAAATCTACACAGAGAGCCCACTGGAGTGTAGCCCTAGCAGGATAGGCGAAGGCAAAAGTCTGGTTGGCGGAAAACACACCAGCACCTGAGAGGACCACAGGGGCTCTGTGGAAGGATCATGCCAGGGGTGTGAGAGGAGGGATAACATCCAGAAAAGGGAGAAGAGCAAGAGCTGAGAACGTCCAGGTCCTGGGACAAAGGTACTTCCACAAGGCACCAGAGTCGTAAAGATAGGGAGGAAGGAGTAGCTTACGCGTGGGTGAGTGTGAGTGTGTGTGTGTGTGTGTGTGTGTGTGTGTGTGTGTGTGTGTGTGTGTGTGTTTTGGAATTGTGGTGGTGGCTACAGATAAATAATGGTGTTTTGCAGATTGGGGTTGGAAGGGAGTCGGGCAGTTGCAGGAGGACAGTGTCGGGACAGTGAGAGAATGGTGCGAATGCTGGGATCTTGCAGGAAAATGTGTCAATGGCAACCAGTAGAAGGCTAGAGGCCCAAGGGTGAGTGCAGCCCAGGAGTCAGGTTGGGCTTCCACAGCAGTGATTCTTCCCGGGGGTGGGGGGGGTGAGTTTCACCCGAGGGGGGGGTGGGCATGACCCCCAAGGGAGGCCTATCACACCATCTGAAGGGGGAGCAGTACACTGCTTGAAACAACAAAACCAAAAAAAATTCAAAAGAAAACACAAAAACACACCCCAAAGATGTTGCTGATAGGCCTCCTTGGGGGGTCATGCACCCTCGGGTGAGAATCACTGGGTGGAAGGGGCAGAGAGGAGAGCTGGGCAGAGAGGCGAAGCATGAGCAGGTGAGGAGGTGGGGGTATGAGACTCAAGCATGTCAGAATGGGGCTAAGGGACCCTGGACCAGGCAGACAGCAAGCAAAGGGATGTAGCCGAGAAATCACCTGGAAGGATAGAGGGTGGCACCCTGGGCTTCACCTGGAGTGAGTAGGGAGCAGAGCACCAAGGTTTGGTCCTGGCACTGAGGCCTCTTGAGGAGGAGGGCTGAGGGAGACAGGAGCGACCAACGGGGAAATTTAGGGTGGACTGATGTGATCAGAGAGCACCTGAAGGGCTGTAGAGCAGAAGCAAGGCCCAGCTGGGACTGGAGATGATCTGGCAGAGAGACGACGGCTGGCAGAGGAAGGAGAAGAGAGGGGCGGACAGCAAGACCCAGGGCTCTGTGCAGAGCGAGACCGAGCGCCAAGGTGTCAGGCATGGCTGAGCAGGCACAGGGGCAAGAGGGAGGGCTGAAGGCCAAGGACCCAGAGCAGTGGCTCCCAACCTTTTTTGGCCATGCCCCACCTAAGCATCTCTAAAATCCTGATGCTTCCCCCGGCCCGTGGCATATAATTCCCATTATTCAAAAAGTGAACTCCGATTCATGTGGAGGACACCTAAAAGGCCACTAACTTGGTCTAAACAACCTTCCAAACAAGATGGCATCCGTGAAAGAGAAAAAGCAAAGAACAACAGACAGTTGACATACTGAGGAAGAAATAACCCAGGAAATTGCCCCAAAATAACAATTGAAGTCATATCAAAAAA